GTTCTCAATACAAGATAAATTATGAACAATTATTAAAAATACATGTCATCATTTTCTTTACATGAAACGTTTTGGATACATTTCAACACCTTTTTACCGTTATTATAAGAAATATGGCAACGGTGAGTGACAGCGAGACTTATACCGGACCCCCTGCGAATAGGGCAGCCGTCCCTGATTGAGACATCCGAATTGTTATGCAAAAGTCTAGGTATGCCAATTCCAGAAAAGCGTCATAAATCTGTATGCAATAAACGTCAACTTTTTAAAATACAAGGCCGGCACAGCCAGTACTGTCTGAAATACCTTTTCACTAAATTGTTTAGTTATTATGCAATTCTACCTACTGCATTATTGCACTATTGCTTTCACGTTTGGGCATATTTTTCTCGTCGTCGATATTCTTGTCCGAGATATGTAACGGAAACGGTACGGAATCAAGAAATAAATTGTTATCGGCTCAGGCAGAGATGCACCTGAGATATTTTCTTTTAATGGCTTAAATTTTAAGTTAGTGAAAATTTGCTGATTGAAAAGTACTTCACATACATGTTGAACTGTAACTGCACACATGCAAAATGATAATTGCCTTTTGCTTGAATAAATACTTGGTTAAAAGTATGAGATACACTTATACGGTTTTCCTTGCCCGGGTGTAAATATCAACTCTTACACTGTAAAAAATGGACTTAATTGCACTCAATTTCACTAAATAATATATCAATTTCTACCCGCATCCGATTGAGTGAAATTTTCCTCTACTAGTATGAGTACAGGTAAAATTTTATATGTGAAACTATCAGTTTTAGTTCAAATATTATCACAATTTTGTATAATTATTAAAATGCACAAATATTGACAGAAAATGTGCTCAATAATTTCACTTAATGGATTCACTCCGTATCTTTTTGCTTTCATGTAGACCGATTTATTTATAGTGTAAGAGAATATAGTCTTCTTCTTGTACAATTTCAATAGAGCAATAATTATGAAATTCGCCAAGTTATAATGATACATGCAGGTAATAATACAGAAAATGTGGTAAATTTCCTAATTTAAATAAATTGGAGACAACGGTGGACTATGGAGACAACCGAGAAGACAATAGAACTGGTTCTACGTGCTCAATTTTGAAGATTTTTAGCGACTTTTTTAACATATAGCTTATTAGCCAATTTTAGTTAGATTTTACAATTTTGAAACTTCGGCATAATAAAAATTTTGAGAATAAGTTACCTTCACGTGTTTGTTATTGCAGTATACATACGTACAGTCTGAAAAAAACTATGGAATAAATTCATTATTATCGAAACGTTGAAGTTTTATAACATTTCTTCGGACACGTCGACTTTTCATTTTAAAATTACACTTTTCCATGTTCCCCGTCTCTTCCCCATTCAATCCACATTAAGTATTCCGAAACATATCTAACTATAATTATAGGCAGTTGTTTATTTCTCTTAGTTCAAAATACAATTTTATGCCGTCTGCATAAGGTATTAGTTTTCATAAACTACTTCAACAAACAAAAATAATCATTGAGGGCCCAAATTGCTACCTTGAAGACATCACTAGAAATAAGTAAGCTCTTGATTAAGTTATATATTATACATAATTAAAGATAAATATGAATTTAAACAAAATACTCAGTAAATCTATTCTATATTTAAGTTGATGATCTAATTCATCAGAAGCTTTGGTCATATCCACGTAATTATAATGAACTTGTAATTGTTTATCCAGACTTTCAGCCAAATACTGTGTAATGTTACATACTCTTGTGGTGACATATCTATGTTAGAGAGGAAACAAAACTAACCTAGTTTTTATTTTGGGAATATACTGATAAAAAATAATGGATTAGAAAGCATTAGCCGAAGTAGACAATATACGTAACGATCTATCTGTTTCCACTTGATTTCTTTTTAAAAATTGGTGAAATTCTAGTTTTCTCGGCTCAAAAGGACTTAGATTAAGAATAAGACATAATAATGATTTTCGGGTGGTTGTGTAGTTGCCTATGTACCTGGTCGCCACCAATTACAGACTTGCACTGCACGTCCTTAGCCTTAGTGAGTTGTTCTAGTGGTTTTCGGGCTAGGTTCTGTGGGAAAGATTCGCCAAGTCGCGGCGAATATTGGTAAAAGTTGGTCAAATTTTTTCGTAAATTTTGTACAAATATATTATTTTCTTAGTATTTTGAGGAGCTGAACACGATGCCATTAGTAAAATTTATCCGTGACCTCGATATTTATCAGAAAATGGGTGAAAACTGCCCCAAATGTTGATCAAAACTGATTTTTTTCTGAATTTTATACAAATATATAATTTTCCTAGTAGCAAGTAATAATTAAAGTCTTTATAATTTCAACTTGAAGTGATAAAAAATAAATGTGAATTGTTTAAATTTTCTCTGAAATGGGTTAGCTATAGGTTTTAATATCCGTAAAAAAAAGTGTCGACAATACAGAATCGACGTGTCTGTAGGTGTCACGGGACTTAATCATTTCGAAACAAAATAATTTGTTCATACTTTTCTTTCTAAAAATTTAAAGCAAATCCGGTTTTTATCTATATAGGTTTTTATCTGTGTGATATAGATTTTTTAATAGATGCATTTATTAACAAAACTTTAGCTTTATTTTCACTTACTTCAACAAAACTTATTTACCCTATACTTTTTTCGGTTTTCTTGGATAGGACTAGGGTACACAAAAATAATAATTATTAAAGCTTTTCAACAAAATTTGAGGTGCTTGTAGGTATAGGTTAACATTCGTATGTGTAAAGTTTATTACATGTATTAATTTTGTTTCGTTATTTTTTATTATGAGTTTAATAAATATGCGCAAGGGAAACAATTTCTCCAGATTTGCCTGGTTTCGATATTAATGATGCGTGTTCCTGAAGTTCAAATCGTGTATGGTATATCATTGATTGCAATTGATTTTATATTTAGTTGTAGTTACAAGATAATTAGTTTTTTAAAGTGTACATTATTTAATGATATTTTTTATTTTAAATAATTATTAATTTATGTGATATGTTTATGAAATGTGATATCATTTGGTGAGAATTTTTTGGAAAATCTTTGGAATTCATTTGAATTAGCTTAGATATATATGAAATGAAATAAAACACAGTTAATAAATATTTCATATAAACTGGAAATAATATTTTATTTCAAAGTGAGCCGTTAATAAATACATCCATATAAAAAATACATATAAATTTAGAATTTTTTCTTACAAATGTGTTTGCTAAGAATTAAAATAAACTAATTTGCTATATTTCTAGATGTTAAAGTCCAGCGATAACTATAACGAAACGGAAGATGTATTTAAAATATAAATTAATGCATCATAAATTATTATCAGCTTGGTATAATACCAGCAAGCCTTCTATTGAAACGGAAACAAAATGTGGCAAGTATTGTATAAATAATAATTACAAAAAAAATAGATAAATAACGTGTAAATAAAACATAAAAAATTGATTTTATGCCATATCCGGTAAGTTATAAAAAATCTCGTAAAATATTAGTCCCGTCAATCTAGACATTCAAAGATACATAAATTTACAAGCTGAAAGTGAGTAAAGTTGTTCAAAACATAATTAAAAATAACATATTAAAATTCCTCATCGTTCCGGTACTTGGAAAAAAATTTACTCGAGGTCAAAGGTCAAAAAATGGGTTTTTCGCGATTTTCAGCTAAACGGTAAGTTTTATCATAAAATTACATCAGACAAAAATTGTAGATCATAAAATTATCTATAAAAACTTTTTTCCTAAGAGCCACCGTTTCTGAGATATAACGATTCAAAACGTTGTAAAAGTTGTAATCGTCTTAATATGCACACGTTTCCACGCCACCTATGAGGTAGTGTACTTAGCACGTTTTTTTTAACGTGGTTTCCCCAGTAGGCCCATTCCACATTGCACTATTGCATAATAACAGATAGTAGCAAGGGTTGGAAATGATAAAAGCGATGGAAATTAAAAAAAAAGTAGAGGAATTTATTTGTCTGATTCATAACCTTCAAATACTTCTTCTTGCACTTCTTCTTGATCTTCTTCTTCTTCTTCATTCTGGGTGTAAGTAAATTGCGTCAAAAGTGATGTATCGCATGTTGCCTCGTTGGTATCAAACGAATCCTCTACTGTTGGTGATTCAACATTAGAACACGACCGGCCTTGACAATTTGTATATGCCAGAGAACAAGACAGTCCAACTTTTTTGCAACCACATTTAGCACTGCATCATTTTTTACAGTTACAGTGGCGTACTTATGCATATTATGACGATTACAACTTTTACAAATTTTTGAAGCGTTATATCTCAGAAACCGTGGCTCTTAGGAAAAACAGTATTGATAAATTTTTTATAGACAATTTTATAATCTACAATTTGTAGATTGTCTGAGGTCATTTTATGGTAAAACTTACCGTTTAGCTGAAAATCGCGAAAAACGCATTCTGTTGACCTCGAGTAAATTTTTTCCCAAGTACCGGAACGATGAGGAATTTTAATATGTTATTTTTAATTATGTTTTAAACAATTTTACTCACTTTCAGCTTGTTGTAAATTTATGTACCTTCACTCTTATTTTTTGGTCTAATTTGACCGGACTATATATATTCATATGAAGTTGCCTTTGATAATAATTTCTTTCTATTTTTAGATGTTTTTAACATTCAATATGTACTTCCCTTAACAATAAAATTCCTTTTTTTTGTCTATGATTTCGCATTCATGACTAGATGAAAGTTGATTACACCGTAGGGTTAAGAGAGAGAGAGAGATTTGTTTTTAATTGCCTTTAACTAGGCACGCCAAAAGGAAACCAGTAATCGTTATATGTATGTAATAGTTATCGAATTGGTTAATGCAGATCATTATTTGATAATATATTTTAATAATTTTTGTACCTATATAAACGTTTAACTTTGTAGGTATTTAAAAATCTACAGAAGCAATTATAAAGAGAAGTGAACTTACCAAATTGACTCCTCATCCAAGGGTAAAGGGGACTAGGTAACGCAGAAGCCGTATTATTTGGAGGTTGCTGGCCAGGTTGCGGCTGTTGCTGTAGAGGAGGAGCCTGTTGATGAGGAGCAGCCTGATGCATATTGGCGTTTTGCTGGCCACCGTACATCATGTGTTGCTGCTGCTGGTGGTGAGCTTGCTGGTGATGCTGCGGATGCTGCTCTTGCATATGGTGAGCCATATGATGGTTGCCCATATTTTGCGTCGTATCGAGCGGCGGACTTCCAGTTGGACCAAGAACACCATTCTGTGTCACCGCTGCCGCTTGCAATTTACAACTTGCATACACAACGGGAGTTTGATGTCCATTGGGGGGGGCATTGCCGCCCATATGCATGGTAGTCGGGCTATCTGGCCGATATTGGTTGCCATCCATTTGCTGTTGCTGCGTGTTGTAATAGCCCGCACTTCGGATATCCATTCGGTCGTAAGGTGGAAATCTCGGATAAGGCATCCCTTGAGGAGGCTGTCCAGCTGCCGGTGGACCACCGTAATGGTGCGGAGGGATGCCTTGGCGCAAGCCGACAACGGAAGGGTCACCCGAGCAAGAGTTTGGATCCGTCTGGACAGCACCGCCTCCCTGAGGCACTTGCACAGCGGCTCCATAATGTTGATGCTGGTGTTCCGCTGATACCACACCACCATTTCTCATGTCCGGAATATAATTGGCAAAGTACGAACTCATGCTAATTTTTTTTAATCACAGCAAAATTTTTACACTGAGTTCTTGCACTAAAATCACATTAAACACTACAGTTGCATCCTTTCATCTCCACTATCATTTACACTTAATTTACACTTTAATTAAATTCACTTTTGTACAGTCTGCGCAGTGTTGTTTTGTTTCGAGGCTTCAATCTTCATCCAATACAAAAAAGAGTTTTCGCGTATTTCTGCAACAAAAGTATAAATCAGTTAATCATGTCAAAACAAAACAATGATTAGGTGCTATCTCTATTATTATATAAACTATTGTACGTATCATGGAGCAGGGTTAGGGACATAACGGCAGACATTCGCACACTGTGCAGTTATGATTGGTGTTAACAGACAATACGGATCGAGGCTCAAATTGTAAATGAACATTTAAGTAAAGTGGAGACCACCAGAAAATGAGTGACACATGTAAACTGAGACAGTTCATCATTAAGTTGCCACGCATCATATACACACGTGTTCGCGGAATGCAGCTAGTTAGCTACGGTGGTTTCCGAAATTCAAAAAATGTAAGTCTTCTGAAAAATAGCTTTTAATATGTGGTTAAATGTTAATAACAAAAAAATTGAAATATTTATTGCAATTTTATTTCCATATTTCTCTTTCGTTGGTGGCTAATTTCTTGATAATTAAATTTATGTACCTAGTGTTACTTACACTACTATTAGAAGGGTTATAAACTGAATAAAAATAGAATTTTTGAATTTATCAATATTGTGATGAACATGACGGTGAACTTTAATTTTCTTATAGGGAAAATATGAGTGCCAGTAATTATTCCGTCGGCGTTTGTATTGTAATTAATCCAATTAAAATTGGTGACCAGTTATTAACAGAAAAAACACTGCAAAAGGTGAGTATTAAACATGATAAGGTTAATTGCAAAACTATTGCGTCACAAAATCCAATTATGTTAATTGAACAGTTTGTTACTTACTACACAGGTATAATTCCCGCAAATAACTGATCAATATAATGACCACATGTACGGATGAAAATAAGTCTTTCATTAAAAATAAGTCCACAAAATTGAAGTGGCATGGCATTACTGTAATTATTAAAAATATATGTTATTAGTAATAAAAGAAAATTTTGAAAAAGTTGTTTGCAAAATACACAGAAAAAATGCTGCGAAGGGAACACATAGATTTCTCATTATTGTTAAACAAATGTCTTAAGAGTGATCTGAACTTTGAAGGATTGTGTCAGATTAAAGGATGAATTATTTTGGCGGATGCTCCTGTTGTCGGAATGTATTGGAATTCGGCCATCCGTGTTTATGAAACGAAAGAGGGTTTAATAGGAAAAGTAATTGCCTCCACCCACAGCATAAGGGTCTCCGTCTCCGACATACGATTTGTCAAGCTAAAAGGTTCCGCACACACACACACATGTAATTCGTTAACCGCAGTCAGCCAACGTGACGCCGCCATCAAGCTTTTGCTTTTTGCTAAACCAACATTTTTTACCACAGACATGTTTTGATGTACTCGCTGCCTTTGTTTTTTAATGTCACAGATTTATGAGTTAGTTCAGAGAGAGAAAATGCCTGGATGTGCAAATGAGATTTCAACCACGATTTCGTTGTTTTACTCGTATCACCTTGCCATGCCGTAATTTCGAATACACGAATCTAGTCTACGTAAACAATTTAGATTTTATGAAGTCATTCATATTCCCTTCAATCTAAAATTTAGCTCTAATATAACAGTCTACATAAAATAGAATATTACCTAGGAATATTGCGATATATTGCGAACTCCATATTGCTAATATACAGAGCCTTCATAAATGTTTACAAGCCACCTAACCGCTGAGTTTAAGCAACCCAATTGGTGCTGGTAACGAAAATTTCCCAAATCTTGGCGTCAGCAATGTAAATAATTCGTCTATAATGAACAAACCGTTACGTCTACGCTTGAGATAATGCGATTGCTGATTGGTCAATAGAATCTCGTGAAAAATTGCGCCAGTCACAGCAGATGAAACAGAATATTGGGTTTTAATGTAACATTGATCTTATTGTTTTAATTTTACTAAAATTTAATTGCCGACATGAAGGAAATAAAATTACTGTCCCAAACGAAATTACTGGTCACGTGGCTTGTAATCATTTCTGAAGACTCTGTATAAAAGCTATTGACATCCCTAAAGAAGATCAACTTAATTTTTTCAATTTCTTTATTATGCAAATATTATTGTTCCTTTGTAAACGTCTTGTATATTAAGGAAAAATGGATAAAGGAACATCACGAAGGATATTTGGCATCCTACAGAATTTTGGAAGGATGCAGGACAATTAATGAAAAATTTGCTCAAACGTCCACCGAAATTCTCCAGTTTGTAGATAGATGATCCTAAGATCAAAGAGGGAGGTTTCTCAAGACAAGATAGTTAACTAATTATTAAACAGAGCACGAGCAAATCGCAGGCTTTGGATTTTATTGTGAGATGAAACTCACGTCTTCAAGGATATAGGTTGGCCTAGTTAATTATTATTATTATTCATTGCACATCGTTGGTAATACATCATCGCATAGACTTTTCATCAGATTTCCCTCTTATTATGCACTACAGCTTGAAATAAATTATTTTTTTCGCATTTTCTAAAAAAACATATTTTTTCAAAACAATTTTAGATGTGCCTGCTTATTCCGTAAATGCTCTGATTTTATTACCCTCAATGACATTGTTAAACAAATTTGGAAGTTACTCATAATTCCATTACTCTACAAATTCTACAAATAATCTATACAATGTGTCTTAGAATGAATGGAACACATACTAAGAGCAAATTTATGGAAATATGACTTAACCAAACTGGCTTTGGTCCAAAAGTTATATTTTGAAGCTATACCTACTCACTAAAGTAACAATTCCCATTTCCTAATTTTGCCATAATCAACAATATAGTGCCTCAAATGTAATAAAGAATAACACGTCTAATCAAGCTTTAACTTTGTTAGATATTTATGCTATGTGTTTTCTGACAAAAAGTATATAATTACTATTCAAATAACACGCCACACACAAAACAAAAGTTGTCTGTACTTTTCACAGGAACTTCCTAACCTCAAAAAACGTCAAAATTTGAAAAAATGTATTTTTTTCTATATTTAAATATTTATTTATATGGTTAAGACATCACTGAACGTGAATCCGTGGTCAGAATTGATGGTTCTTTTTCTAACGCCAAAAAAACCGGTTCAATTATGATCAGATATCATGAATTTTCAAAAACTAACAGATTCGCGCCAAATTCGGTATACGGAGGTTTTCGGGGTCGCTGATCACGGATCCGAGGTCAATTTTGCAAAATTTAAGATGGCGGATCCAAGATGGCTGGCCAAATTTTCAGAAAATAACAAATTCGAACTTTTCGATTTGCATTTTTCATCCAAGGTTAGCTTATGTAGGTGATGTTATTATATTAAAAATCAAGAGTAACTTCAGTCTATTCCTCCCATTAGCTTATCGGTAATTCAAACAGATTTTTTTTATACAAAAGAAAATCTTTGTGAGTGTTATTTAATTTTAATCGTGTTTTCCAGTTATACAGAAGTATGTACAGTGAGTTAAATTAAGTGGGATTTCAAGGTACTTCTGAAATTACTAAATTTAGAAAAAATTGATGACACATTCTCGATATTAATCGAATTAGTATCTTTATCTTCCTTTTAAAGTATAATTTGATACAAAATTGAAGAAAAAATAAAGTATAACCAAAAGCTGTTAAAGGCAATATTGATACAATGGAAATGATATTTATACATAACTATATTTAGATACAAGGAGGCAGTGAGTGGCAACAACTGATATATTGTGTAAATATAACATTTTATATCGCATGAAATACAGACAACTTTTTTTGTGTGTGGCTGTGTAATCTTAGAGTTAAGGAGGTACATACTACAAATTTAGATATACATTTCGGTCAATCTCAATATTATTGATGTAATTTGATTGCAAATTTGATTACAATTCGGCAAACCAATTCCGCTTCAAATATCTAAAAAAATAAAGTTGGGCTATACTGTAGTAAACACGTTGCGGTTAGACAAAATGGAGCGCTAACAACAAATTATTGTGTGAAGAGTGAAAATTCATTACAAGTACGGAGAGTGTGTAGCTTAGACTATGCATGGAATTCTCAGAAGAAGGAACGCCCTGCAAGAAACAACTGTGACAAAATTTGTTGCCAAATTTGAATATACAGGTTCGGTTGCAGACAATAAAAATACAAGCCATCCTCGTACTGACTGTTTAGCCGAAAATATCGCTACGGTGAGTGATAGTGTGGCGGAAATTTGAGTGGGTCTGTGAGTGAACAAACAAATCTGTCGAATTTGGGGCAGAGACAATCCTCGAGTCATTCAAGAACGACCATTGTGTACCCAAAGAATGGCAGTGTGTATGGTGTGTATGAATTTTATGCTAGCGGAGTGATTGTTTTTTTTTAAATAAGCCTGGAAACACAGTGACTGTCAATGGAGAACGATATCAAGAGATGCTCTTGGATTTTTTGTGGCTTCATTTTGATTGTTGGATTGCATCTGGTGCCAACAGGATGGTGCCACCTGTCACACGGCACGTGAAACTATCCACTTATTACAGCAGAAATTTAATGGACGACTCAACTCACGTAACAGTGAAGTGCCACCAAGATCATGCGATCTTACTCCTTGCGACTTTTTCCTGTGGAGATTCGTAAACCATTCCTGAATTAAAGTAGAAATTCGGAAAATTATGAATGAAATTCAACCGCAGCTATGCAAAAGCGTGATATAGAATTTTCTTAAAAGAAGTTGAGTATGCCAAATGAGTCGCCGAGTATATCTGTCTGATATCTTCTTTCATATTGAATGAATGGCAATCGCCCTTTAAAAACATGCAAAAACGTTTCCAACTTTTTAATTAATAAAATCTTTTTTCCTCATACGAAATCCTGCCATTTCTTTTAAGACACACTTTACTTAAACTTTTTTTATTATCTGAAACCCACTGACTATCAATTTTAAAGGAAACTAGTTTAAATTCTACAGCAAATTCAATGTAAGATTTGTCAGTCTCAGTCTAACATTTTAACCGAGTTTCTAAGGGAAGTTTAGTTAAATCGTAGTACTTTGATATTCAAAAATCATAACTGATCCTTTTCAATAATTCTGGAACATTGTAG